CCCAAAAATGGAGTGAAGGCAAGCTGCGCACTAGCCTCCTCCAGGAGAGTCAGCGAGCTTCCCCAGTACCCGAGTTGGTTGCTCGCTTGCATGGCCTGGGTGTAGGGTTTAGGGTTAGGGTTTAGGGTTTAGGGTTTAGGGTTTAGGGTTTAGGGTTTAGGGTTTAGGGTTTAGGGTTTAGGGTTTAGGGTTTAGGGTTTAGGGTTTAGGGTTTAGGGTTTAGGGTTTAGGGTTTAGGGGTAAAACCCTAAACCCTTTTTGGGCTTGCTTCCTGGGAGTCTGTAGGTTGGTGAAAATATGTTGTAGGACTATACGCTTTAGTGGTTTAGAGGCGCAATACACAGGGATGAAACATGGAGGCCGTCCCAACACACCAAACGACAACATCGTAAACTTTAAACACTCAACAAGCCTAAACCCTAAACCCTAAACCCTGATGATTTCTACCCCCCGTTACAACCACGAAACGAGCATGTTGAATATTCCCTTGGGCTTTTGTACAAACACAAAAAGACAGCACACATGATGCCAGAAAGACGATAGCAAACACTAATTGCGGAATTCAGACGTACGTGCACCAACTCTTTGAGTTTTGTAGAGTAGAAGGTTGGCCAACTTCTTGAGCTTTGTAGAGTAGAGCCCTAAACACGAAACCCGAAACCCTAAACCCCAAACCCCAGAAGGTTGAGACTTGGATCTCCTAAGATGCTTATTCGGTAGCTATAGAAAGGTTGAAAAGGTCCAAGCCGAGACCCGCCGAATCCCACTGAACCCGAAACCCGGTCGAACCTAAGCCGGAGGATTTGGGGTTTAGGGTTTAGGGTTCAGGGTTTAGGGTTTAGGGCTACTCTGATTTAAGGTTTTGGGCTTTAGGGCTAAGGGTTTTCGGACTCTAAACCCTAAACCCTAAACCCTAAACCCTAAACCCTAAACCCTAAACCCTAAACCCTAAACCCTAAACCCTAAACCCTAAACCCTAAACCCTAAACCCTAAACCCTAAACCCTAAACCCTAAACCCTAAACCCAAAACCAAGCGTCCATGCCATAGCCCTCGGCATCGGCACCGAGGCGTCGGGCTTGGTCCTTCTTGATGGCTGCTGGGCTCTCATCAATACTACGAATTGCTTAAGAACCACAAGAAAATGATAAAACAAAAAAAACATGTTCTTCCTTATTAAGGATGATATAGGGATTATTATGTTTTTACTTTACAAACAAAATTGCTCTTCCTTATTAAGGATAATGTGGGGATTATTATGCTTTTGTTTTTTGTTTTGTTTTTTTTTTTTTGGGGGGGGGGGGGTCTTAAGCAACTAGTAGAGTAGGTCTGCAAGCCAAGGTTGATATAGTAACATGTTATATCATAATATAAGAAAACACATCATACTCAAAGCCTGTAATATATATATATATATATCAGTTCAGCCTGATAGGTGGCAAATTCATAAGTGTAGTAGTTAAAGCTTGGGGTTTATTTAGGGTCTCTTGTTGCCGGGTTAAGAGTCCAAAGGTAAGGTTCAGGGCCTACGGATTGTAACTACCGTCTGATCGTCGGGGCAACCAGATAGTGCATATTATTCCTGAACCCTAAACCCCAAACCCAAAAACCTACACACACGGTGTATGATTTAGTAAGCATGCTAAACCCAAGACCGTCCCGGCCTGGAATGTGTCGAAAGCAGTGTCCCACTGTCCACCTCAGCAGGTGGATGGATCACTCAGTTGCAATCGCCACACAGTCTGAGCGAGACCCTCAGAAGATGTAGAGCTTAGGGGCTTAGGGTTTAGTGAACTGGAAGCACATGATGATAGTTGCTGCATAGACAGAGGCGTTTCACAGGAAAGGCTCGGGAAAGGGACATGCCGCACAGGGCAGACCAGCGCAAAACAATCCAGCACAAACCTCCAAAACCGTCTGGGTTCTTAGGGGCTGCAGCAGCCAGTCGAATTCTAGGGTTTAGGGCTTAGGGCTTAGCGTGATCTAGGGATATATATATATATATATATATATTTATTTATTTATTTATTTATATATATATATACATATATATGTATATATCGACGTGGAGCCAAGTTCGCGCATAGCCTTCGTGCCGAGGTGCTGCGAAGGCTGGCAGCGATGGCCTTCGCTGCACTTGGAAAGCCCTTTGCAAACATGTTCGCGCTCTGATAAAACCTACTACAAACCCCAAAAAAAACCCTGAACTCTTCAACAAAAAAGCATAGATTGGCATTTCTGAAGATTGGGGTTCCTTCACGATACTCCCAAAATCTCCAAAATGCAACAAGGGTCCTCATAAAAGTTCTAGGAACCTCTTTAAAGACGGTGTGCCTATTTCGGGAACCTCCGTCGCCTAGGGTTTACGGTATAGGGTTAGGGTGAACCCTAACCCCCTAAACTCAAGCACAGTCTGGCGACGTCATTGCTGCTGGCAGACGGCAGCTCGAACCTACGCTGTTGGCACTCCTCCAAGCGTCTCGTCTGCCACAGCCCCTATATGCTGGGATGTTCCCCTTTATAGTAACATAAAAGTCCTTAAAAGGGATTATAATGGGGGTACTATCATCCCTACTCAGGACTGCTAGTATAAGGGGGAACATCCCAAGCTATATGGTGACTTCTCTAAATTATACTCCCTTTTGGGGTCCTTATTTTCTGACTGCGCCTCTTACTATACACACACACAAGGGACCCATTTAGAGAACTGACTAGAACCACCCCCAAGAACGAAACAAAATTTAAAACAATCAATTCCAAGGTATTGAAGTCCTGTATGCCTGCCCTGAATCTGAACCCCAAATAAGGAATAAAAGGGTGCCCATTTTGGTTTTAAGGGGATTATAACCCTGAACCCGAAACCTGGGAACTATAGACCTGAATCCAAGCAAAGCCCTGCGATCCCCGTGCCCGGGCCTTTCCGCAAGGATTTGTTGCGTTTCAGAAAGTTAAGGGTTTGGGTTTTTAGGGTTTAAGGTTTAGGGTTTAGGGTGTTTTAGGGTTTAGGGTGTTTAGGGTTTTAGGGTTTAGGGTTTAGGGTTTGGGGTTTGGGGTTGAGGGATGTTCCCCCTTATACTAGCAGTCCTTAATGGGGACTATAATGGGGGGTGCTATAATCCCTATTAAGGACTGCTAGCACAAGGGTGAACATCCCTAGTTTTAGGTTTAGAGGGTTTACCGGGTTTACCCTAAACCCTAAACCCTAAACCCTAAACTTTTCAGGACTTCGGACGAGGGCTCAGGGTGTCGCCATGAGCAGCACCAACATCGTCCGCATCTACAGCCTGCTAATTGCTTAACCCCCCCCCAAAAAAAATATATATATATGTATATACATATATGTATATACATATATATATATATACATATATATCTCTTCCTTATTCAAGGTAATCTAGGGATTATTAGTTTTATTTTGTGGGGGTTCTTAAGCGCAAATAGTAGCAGCTGGCATCTTTTCCCTGCAGTGCCACGGCCGTGCATCAGTCGGCCAAGTCTAAAGGAAGCTACTGCAGCCTGCCGAGACCCCAGTCATGTCACTGTGTCTTAGCTGCTGAGTTCATAATCCCAAAAAAGTACACTTTCAGTTCTATAGGGGATTATAGTATCCCAAAAAGTGCAAAGTTTACTCACTCAGCTACTAAGGTGTGCGAGCATTTCCTAAAGCCAGGAGTAACCTAGGAATACAACAGGTGCATGTTTTTGGTTTTAAGGAAATTAGAAGGGAACCCCAACCCTTATAAAAAGGAATTAAGGGCCTACTCTGGGTCCTAGTTTCTCACACAAGGCCCTAAACCCTAAACCCTAAACCCTAAACCCTACACCCTACACCCTAAACCCTAAACCCTAAACCCTAAACCCTATCAAGACGTGCTGGTTCAGTCGGCTGGCCACTCTCTGACGGTTTTTACTAAGCTGTACTTTGCGATCGGCCGTGCTTGGCGCTGCACCCACAATATGTCTTGCTTGTCGTAGTTTTAGGGTTTAGGGTTTAGGGTTTATTGTTCAACATGAGTATGTCTTGCAAATTTTGTATATTAGGTCTCGTAGATGTAGGCGGGCAGGCATTGTAGCCTGCCCGTCTCGAACCTGACCTATTTGATCTTTCCACAGGCGGGTGTGCTGCATGGAGCCAAACACAACCTTCCCACTGGATGTTCTGCGGCCGAATGCCAGATGCGAGAGTCTGCCAGAGCCCGCACGCACTCCGTACATGTAGCAGCTCCTTCGTAACGAGTCCGATCTTGCCGCGACAATGGGAAGCCAACACTGACCTCCCCTGCCGTACAAAGACGACCCGCCAAAAAAAAATACTGGGCTACCCAGCGGGGGTTTAGGGCAGGGATTTGGGTTAGGAACACAAGAATCATAAGGGAGGCATTTTACTGTTGAATGGTGTGTTGGAAGCGAACCTGACCCGATCAAAAGGGAATGTGGGCCTACCGCAAGCAGAACATCAGTCGGTTGCCAACCCCCAAAGGGTCCACGTACTCATCTGCAAACGCGTGTAGCAGCCAATTTGGGGCTCCAAATCTTTGGCAAAAGTACCTGGACCCTTTTCGGAACACGAAACTCGAGATCCCCAAACACACTACGGTTAGGAATCGGTGCTCGCGCCGGGACCCAGCTCCGGGTGGGGGATCTTTGTCATATCCGAGAATCCTAAACCCAATACACGCACGTGCTTTGTGAGACCTGCTTAATTAGGGTTCAGGGTTGTCAAGAGACCTGGGTTGCGGGCACGAGCAGAAGTGTGAAACATGTCCCAAAGGAGTCTTGCCAAAGCACTGGTGTGAATTTTGCAGGTTCCACGCCTTGAAAAGTCAAAGCAGGCAGCATCCCTGGCCCCCCCCAAAAAGGGTTTTTAGGGTTTAGGGTTTAGGGTTCCTCAACTCTCTACATTCTAGGGTTTACAGGGTTTTGTAGGGCTTGGAGAGCCAGAGTATGCCAAGTCACCCAGCCCTTGTGCGAACCCGGACTTAAACCTTGATCTCAATGCAGCTACTGAAAACGCCTCCATGCGTCTCTATCCACCTCGGGCTTGCCGCCGCATCCGAGAATGTCAGCGAGCAGCCGCTCATCGTGTGCTCGTGTCAGCACTTCTCCAAGGGGCGACACAAACGCCAGCTTTTTGGACAGAAGTGGTCGTAGGCCCGGAACCATTAACTTCCTTGCATCCCTCCAACTTGCGCCAGGTTGCACGCGAACCTTGGCAATGATCTCGCCTGTCAGCTTACGCAGAACCAGCCGAAGAGTCGTCTCTTCAGCTTCGCACATCACCTGCACTATCGTGGTGTTCCACACCTGCAGCATGTTCTGCCAGGTTTTGTGCTTGCCGGTTGTGTAGCTGTACCAGATGAGTCGGCCAGGCACCGTGGTATCCAGGAAAAGAGTAGACGGAGTATCTGTCCCAGTAGTATCTTTGTGGGACAGCGGAATCAGTTGAATGCCTCCCTCTGAGCCAAGATTGATCTCAAAGTCCCGTCGGTCATCCTTTGCTGGGTTGTTCACCACAGTCAAAAAATGCAGCATCGGTTCTTCTGGAGTGGTGACGATGTAGATGTTGCTAGTCTCCAACTCCTTCCACCTCCCGAACAAGGACAAACTCGTGCTCATGGCACCCCGTATCGCGGAAGCCTCTGACAAAGTGCCTCAGATGCTACGACAGGCTCAAGCCGATTGAGCCTAAAGGAGGCCCAGCGAGAAGCAACTCAGACTTCGATGGCTCGATAGAATTAGATTTAGGGTGTAGGGTTTAGGGTTTACGGGTTTAGGGTTTGGAGTTTGGTCTTGTTGAGCAGTGGTTGGTTTGGTGCAAGGGGGTCTGGGCGGGCTGAGGATACCAGGTGCATGGAAGTGCGTGGCTCAGGCTTCAGGACTACTTGGAGGTTCATGGTACTTATTAACCAATTCTAACAGTACTTGTAACCCACTTATAAGCCCCTTGAGTGCCCTAATATGGCTACAAGTACAGTTTTAAGCACAGGTACAACTGGCTAATAAGTAGTAGGGGCCTTAGGTTGTTACGTCAACCTGCCCGTCCTGCAGCAGCTGCAGAGCTGTTTCCCATTTTCTCCCGTCCGACGCGGCACGCAAAGAGGCCTGTCTGCCACGTTGCAGAGTAAGCGCTTAAACCCTGAAACCTTAAACCCTACACCCACGACCCTTCTTCATTTTGGGCATGACGCCGCTTCTTGCTCCTTCGGTCTACTAGACCTTACCAGGGACCTTGCCTAGACTAACCTTTCTGCCCGTGCCGCGAGAAAGTGTGCCTTAAATTCATGGGCGCATCTACCCGTTTCTAAGGCAGAAGGTTGCAGCACCCTCAACCTGTCAGCCCCAAACCGCAAACCTGAAAAAAGAGGAAAGCACAGCGGGCTCGAGGTGCACCTCAAAGCCCTAAACCCTAAAACCCTAAACCTCAAAGCCCTAAACCCTAAAACCCTAAACCTCAAAGCCCTAAACCCTAAAACCTAAACCCTGCACCCTAGACCCTAAACCCTAAACCCTGAACCCCCATAAGTAATGGGAGACACGGCGGTATCACCCGGGCCCAGAGCCTTGTAGAGGTCCAAGTCCGGCCGCATCCCCTTTTGCCGCGCATCCTTAGAGAAAACAAAATAGGGACTACCTAGGAGTGGGTTTAGGGTTTAGGGTTTGGGGTTTAGGGTTTGGGGTCTGGGGTCTGGGGTTTAGGGTTTGGGGTTGAGGGTTTAGGGCCCAAGAAAAGAAAGGGCCGTCTACATGGGACTCTGTTTGCCTGCTGTTTATCATAGAGTGTTCAGGGTTTAGGGTCTAGGTTATGCCTTCGAAAAAATTGGCAAGGTCGATATACTGTAGCTGAATCGAGTCATACGTATGTGGCGTATCATTTTGGCAACACTTCACGCTCGAGGCCTCGGGCGTTCCGAGCTTTCCTGAAGATCCATTGGTAGTTCGAAGTAGTAGCTTTGCACACCAACGAAGGTTTCAGAAACAACAAACGGTTACTCGTAAAATGCCCTACTTATCGTGCCAGTTCTGCCTACCCATGCACCTCCCCCAAACGCTGAACACCTCAACACCTCCTCAACCCCACGTATACACGCTCACACCCTATAAAGCCCTAAAGCCCGTGAACTCGGTATGGCTGCACATGAACCTCCCAGTAGAGGACCCCTTAACCCTCAACCCTAAGCCCCATTGTAGGGCCTTTGGCAAACCCTAAATCATGCACCCAAAAATTAGGCCTTCTTTGGTTTGGGGTTTATCCGGATTACTGGGTGGCGCACAGAGAGCAACTGAAGCACCTGCGACAAACATCCGGCCGGGTGTTGATGGAAGTCATAGACCCCTTGTGGCAGCTTGCACGGTAATTAGTGAGGCATATGTTACAATAGAGAAAACACGCATGAAGGGCCCCAAATGGAAATTTCCCACTCGTATCATCTTTTTAAAGCTCAGACAAGGTTCTGGCAGATCATTGCTCATTATCACAAACAGTTACTGGGGCTTTTGTTTGATGGTTCCTGGAACAGGGTATTAGGGATCTTGTCACATTGGAGGGGCACCTGTGGCCGCCCTCAATGACTCCATGAAGGAACATAAAAATGAATCATAACATGGACCCTAAGGCCCCCAAACCCTAGACCCCTGAATTTCTTGGTTAACGGGGGCGACGGGGGGGATAGTGGGGTCTGGTGGGCGGCTACACAGAAAGAGGGCGGATGCAAGGAACAGAGCAACTAATGGTGTGGTGTTGGGGGGAAAGATGCAATGATGAGGCCGGACTGGCTGGCTTTCTTTCGCTGGGGTTAGAAGGAGGGTGGCTTTTTACAACTGCAACTGGCTCAAAAAAGCTATGACATGATTTGGGGCACGTATATCCCTGCAGCTAGCCGTACATGTCCAATGTGCAGTCAAGGAGTAGGGATGGCAGCTGACCCGGTCTCTTAAACCCTAACCGGGTTTTGGGATCAGGGTTTAGTGTTTAGGGATTCGGGCTGCCCAAACCTCCGAAAACAAATTTGGGGTTGATTTCGGTCACCCTCTTGCTGGGACCTGAGCCCAGGGTTCTAGGGTGCAGGGTTCATGGGGTTTAGGGTTTTAGGGCGTAGGGTTCAGGGGGTTTTAGGGTTGAGGGGTTTAGGGGGTTGGGGATAGGGGGTTAAGCATGTAGGGGGTGTTAAAATCAGGGTGCAGGGACTAGTGTTTAAGGGCTAGAGGCCTGCCGCAGTGAATCTCATCCATCCAAATAGGAACCCTGAACCCTAAACCCTAAACCTTGGACCCTAAAACAAACCCTGTTCCGCAGACGTTGCATTCGAGCCTGCTGCCACTGCCCCTGGTTGGCGCAGGCATGCGCAGCAGTGCCGAGAACGGACATGGGCGGTTCCTGACTCAAGCACCTAAACCCTAAACCCTAAACCCTAAACCCCAAACTCTAAACCCTAAACCCGAAACAGCCATAAACCCCAGACCCATGAAACCGTAAAAGGCTTCTAGGGGTTTTGTTTTATAGGGTTTAGGTTTTAGGGTTCAGGGTTAAACCCCCAAACCCGCCTCCAACCCTCCGCTACACCCTAATTCAACCCTAAACCCAATAAGCTCACCGAGGTTCTCCAGCAACGTGCACAAAAGCCTAAGCCCTTACACCCTACCCAAGGCTCCTTCGCAGCACCTGTTTTGGGGTAGTGTACTAGTTTAACCCAAAAAGGAACTACATTGGAGCCTTCAGGTAAACATAAAACAAAATCTAACAAGTCGAAGGGTTCAGAGGATAGGGCGTAATTTCATGGGTGCGTAGGGGAGCCTGACACTACACATAAAACAGGATCCAGGCTACTAGTGATGAGGTGTGCAGGCAAACCCTACCCACAGCAATGCAGCCCGAAATCCAAAGCCCGGAGCCCTTAGAGAAGCTCAACCTAGAATCCAGAACCCAACGGCTCATAAGAATGCAAACCCGAAACCCTAAACCGCCCAAGCCCCTTCCCAAAACCCTGAACTGCAGATTACAAGAAGAGGCTCCTGGTCTTAAACCTTCGCGGCATGTAGACACAAATCTCTAAAACTAAACCTGTTTGGAAGAACAAGTATTTCAGGGGCCTACAGTTTCACAGTTTCTAGGGCTTGGGGCTTGACCTAAAACAAACCCTACACCCTAGAATAAACCCTAAACCCTGAACAGAAAGCCCCCACCCTGTCAACTCAAATCCGCTCAACCGGATTAGTGTTTATCGGGTATAGTGTTAGTAAGCCCCTTAAGACCCCTCATGGGTACTTATCACCCCAATTCTAAGTCTGCTTTTTGCTTACTCAAGGGACACAGGGGGGGGGGGGGGGGGGGGGGCTTATAAGTGCAGCTACAATTGGGGTAACCCTAAACACTAAACCCTAAACCGTAAACTCGGTAGAACTAGCGCATCCAGGGGACCGCCCCCTCCGCCTGAGCAGGTTCTGGGTTTGGGCTTTAGGGTTTCGGGTTTGGGGTTTGGGTTTGGGGGGTTTGGGGGTTTCAGGTTTTAGGGTTAGAGGTTTAGAGTGTTTCGGGGGCTGAGGGACTGGGGGTTTAGGGGGTTGAAGCAGGTTAAGGAGGAGGGCTTCAGGATTTAGAGCTTGGAAGTTAATGCGCGTGAGGTTTGACATGAGAAGCCAAAGGGCTGCAATGTGCAGGAGTCTTTGGGGGTTGACGGTTTAGAGTTTCTAGGCCTAGGGCATTAAACGCCAAACTGAATTTGCGCTGGCCGGACTCCCAAATGTTGCCCTTTTTGGGGTACTTGTGATAATACGGGCCTTGAAATTTAGGACACACACACACACACAAGTGACCGTGTTTTTGCAACCATCCCCGAAAGCGCGAACAAAAACAGCCCTGAATGTCGCATCTTCAATTTAACCATTGCTACAAACAATGGCTGCTTCATGCATAAAATACTAGTCGTACTAGCTACCTATGTATATAAATAAATAAACAGATAAATAAATAAAAACATATGCATAGTAACATCCTTACACATATATATATATATATACACACACGCTGTACTCGAGGGTGCATACACACACACACACACACTGTACTATATATATATATACACACACGCTAGGGCCTTCATCTCCTCCAGAAGGTCCAGGCTCTTCCTTTCGGCATGGGAGGTCACTGGAGGTGGGCATGTTGGGAACTGTGGTGACTATTTTGATTGCAGTATAATCTGAGAACTAGGGTTTGGGGTTTAGGACACAGGGTTTAGGGTGCAGATTGTTGTTGCCGATTGTTGGTATTTCGTCTGCTGCTGCTCCCAGTCTTCTTATCACTGACATTATTCCTGCGGGTCCTGCGATTAATCATGAACATACTTGAGCCTTGTTAAAACTGAAAACCTAAAAGCCCGATTATTATTCCCCCAGCCCGAAAGCCCCAAACACACCACAGAAAATGCATACCTAGTCCCTACAAAACCCTCAAGCCCCCCCCAAAAAAAAACTAAAGCCCTCAAAACCCTAAAGCCCCGAAAGCCCGGGCCCTAAGCCCCACGGGCCCTAAATGCCAAGCCCTACTATACCCTAAGTCGTACGAACCCCTACTGAGCCCTAAGCCCTAAGCCCCAAGCCCTAAGCCCTAAGCCCGAAGCCCTAAGCCCTAAGCCCTAAGCCCTAAACCCTAAACCCTAAACCCCAAACCCTAAACCCCAAACCTTAAACTCCAAACCCCAAACCCCAAACCCCAAGCCCTAAACCCCAAACCCTAAGCTGCCCCCCCATGTCCCGCCTCCAGGCGCCCGTCGCTACGAAGGCGGCCTGAACCTGGGCACGTCCGGTGCTTGACGGCTGGATAGTTTATGGGTTTAGGGTTTAGGGTTTAAAGGTTTAGGGTTTAGGGTTTAGGGTATAGGGTATAGGGTTTAGGGTTTAGGGTTTAGGGTTTAGGGTTTAGGGTTTAGCACATTGTTGGGGTCGTAGCACTCAAAACAGGCCTCTGTCGTTTCTCCCCTCGCCCCCCACCCAGAATGCGGTACTTTGAAAGTCCATGTCTAGTTATTGCTAGGCTTATCAGCACCCCAAGGCTGGGACCTGCCTAAACCCGTCGAAAGCCCCAAGATCCCTAACCTTAAGCCGCGCCGCCTCAACCCCAGACAGCCTCTCAACCTGAAACCCCAAACCTGAGCTCGAACTCCTACAACCACCCCCCGAAAGCCCCCCCCCCCCCCGCCCCCCCGGCCATAGCTAACTGAGACATATTGGATCCGGGTTAACTAGGATGTTGGGTTCAGGGTTTAGGGCGTTTCTGGCATGCGGGGGGTACTCAGAGAGAGACCCTACACCCCAAACCGCATAAGCCTGCACCTGAACCCTAAACCCTAAACCCTGAACCCTAAACCCTAAATCCTAAACCCTAAACCCCAAAGCCAGGGCCAAGGGGCTGCTTGGTAGGTCGAAATGTCTGGCGTCAGACCATAGTCACGCATCTCCTCGAAGAGAGCGAGCACCTGTGGTAAGGGGGGGGGGGGGGGTTTGACGGTTTAGGGTTGAGGGGCTCAGGGTTCACGGTGCAGTGCTTATACATAAACAAGGTATACGTATATGTATATATATATATATACATGTATAGATATACATATACATGTATACATGTATATATATATATACATGTATACATATACAGATACATGTATACATATGCATATACATATACATATACATATACATATACATACACATATATGTAGATGGAGTTATGTAGGATCTGTGTCGTGGAGCTGTGGGTATATATAGGACTTATGCATGGGGGTTTCGGGCCCAGATGTGGGCTGGGCTTTGGACAGCCGTGGAAAAAAAACAAGATTCCTGCACGTGATCCTCCTAAGGCAAAATACGCAGGATTGCGAGGGCCTGCCTAGGAAAGGTGTTTCGTGCGTTTAGGTTTTTGTTAAGTGTGCCGGGCTCTCTACAGACATGTCAGGGAGCTTCAGGGTCCATATGGATAGATCCCGACACCCTCAGCCCTCAACCCACCCTATAGCCCCCTAAGCCCCCGAAGCCCCAAAGCCTAAAACCCCAAAGAGCCCAAAGGACCCACAGAAGCTCGAAATCTTCGTTATAGGGGTTCTTGAGGGGGGGGTTCAAGGAGGGTAGGCAACCCAAGGTTCCCTCATACTCCCCACAACTCCCGAAGCTTGTGATGTTCCCCTGTTTAGTAACAATCGTTTAGGGTTTAGGGTTTAGGGTTTAGGGTTTAGGGTTTAGGGTTTAGGGTTTAGGGTTTAGGGTTTAGGGTTTACAATCCTTAATACGCGGATCCCTAGGAGAGCTCGAGGTTGAACTTCTTAGGGGCTCATACTGCCCAAAAAGAGTGGTTAGCTGGAGCCACCCTAAACCCTAAACCCTAAACCCTAAACCCTGAACCCTAAACCCTAAAGAACCCTAAAACCTCAACCCTAGACCCTCTCCCAAAACTCGAACCCCACATTCCTAAACCCCCGCAGACTCTAAATGAACCTACACCCTCAGACACTGAACTAACCCCTACAAACCCGAAGTCCTTGACAGAAAAACGCATAAACCCCGCAAACCCTGAACAAAAAAAGAACAATCCCAAAGCAGAAGGCCTAAACCACGACATAGGAAACCCCTGAAGCCCGAAAATCCGTACAAAAACCGAAACCTTGGTCCCCAATCCCGTACGTCCTAAACCCTGCGACCTAACTCTGCCTCATAAGCCCTGAACCCCTGAATCACATAAATCCTAGACTGTGAACCCACCCAAGGGCCCCCTAAACCCTAAAAATTTCGGGCTTCATGCACTCAACTTATCAACTCGGAACACCCCTCGACTCCAAGCCGAAAGCCCGAAAAGCGAAACAACCCTCATCCCCCCAAGATAGACCCTCTAAACCCTAAACCCTAAACCCTAAACCCTAAACCCTAAACCCTAAACCCTAAACCCTAAACCCTAAACCCTAAACCCTAAACCCTAAACCTGAACCCCAAACCCTAAACCATCCGGAATCCCCTCAATCCCCCCCGAAGAACCACGGAGCCTCACCCCACTCCTGGCTTCCCTCGCAGCAGCTGATGGCGGCTGCGTAGCCTGCCCCCCCCACTTCTGAGGGGTTGAGGGTTTAGGGTTTAGGGGGGTAAGTCTATGGGGTTAGAGGCTTGTAAAATATGGGGTAGGTCTATTGCCAAGGCTCCAAATAGCCCAAAGTAGCTATTATTTACAGACTTTTGGAGCCCAATGTAGGTATTATTTGTATACCTGGAGCCCTAGGGTATGGGTTTGCGGTTTTAGGCTTCTAGGGTTTAGGGCTTTTTCTGGGTGGTGATAGCCCCCAAGCCGCCCAATTCCGAGCTCGCTGGCTGGAATCGGGGCCGAAGGTGTTGGCGTCAGGGTTGAAGCTACAGGGTGTAGCATGAAGTATCTACTGTTTGCTTAAGAACCACAAAAAATCAAAAGTAATAATCCCTCTATTAAGCTTAGTAAGGAAATATATTGTTATTTTTTCGGCGTGTATAAGCAATTAGTAGGCATGCGTAGGATCGCCGAATCGTGTGCCTAGGGGTCCTGGAGCTGTGCGGGGTTTTTAAGTAGATGCTCCCAATTAGAAGATTAAAACCCTTAACCTCAGGGTCTTTTGGGTGCAGGGCTTGAGGGTTCAGGGTTTAGGGTTTCGCAGAAGCTCTGAATATCCATATCATCTGCAGACAAGTATCAGGCTGAGTCGGGAGTTGCACGGTGCCAGATGTCCTTGACCGGGTGTGTTGCGAAGATCTGATTCGCTTGAGCCCGTTCCGCCTATGGAACCATAGGCCCAAAGATGCTATCACTCACTACTGCCACTACTGCAAAAGCACGCCGCACCTTCGGGGGAGGGGGGGGGGGGGAGGGGGGTTGGGGAGGGGTGCTGAGACCTAAACCCTAAACCCTACACCCGAAACCCTAAACCTAAACCCTAAAGCCCCTTTGTCACATTTACACTGAGCTACCTGGAGAAGTGACTTTGCCCGCTCGGGCTGATGGCCGTCGTCGCCTCAGAGCATGACCAGGAAGTATTTGGGGGGGTTGGGGTTTGTGGAAAAGGGTTTAGGGTTTAGGGTTTAGGGTGGAGGAGGTGGTGGGGGGTAGGGGTGGGGGGTGGGGTGTAGGGTTGACCTGAACTCAGCCTGCCCCACAAACAGGGTTCTTGTCTGCCAAGACCCTAAACCCTAAATTGCAAACCTGGCACGCCTTGGTCTGCTCTGGCAGAAACAAAAGAAAATAGCAATAACGCAGTATGGTTTAGGGTTCAGGGTTTAGGGTTTGGGGTTTAGGGTTTAGGGTGCTGGGCTTAGACAAGATGCATTGTAACTTTAACATGGTGTTTGAAGGTCCACAGGCAACAATTAAGCAAAGACATATATTGTTCAAACAAAAACTAAGCCTACATGTGTATGTATCTATGTATACTTACATATGTGAGTATATATATATATACACCGCTCAATACATATGTATATATCTGTGTACAGATGTATGTTGATTTATTTGCTTACCATGCTCGCAACTACCCGTTGACTATCAAGTAGGTCCTTCAGGGCCTAAGCCAGTTGGAAGCACCCAAACATCCCTGTGCCCAGGAGCACGCCCGAAGCGCTGCTCGAGCAGCCGCCAGGGACCACTGTCCTTGCCTCTGTTGTGGGGGTTTCGGGTCCCTAAACCCTAAACACCTAAGCCTAAACCCCTAAACCCCCAAACCCCCAAACCCCTAAACTCTAAACCCCAACCAGGGTACACTCGGGTTTAGAGTTGGTTGATAGATTCACTAGCTCAAGGCGGGCAGGGCAAAACTTCAAGAGTCTTTGCTTGAAACTAGCAGTCTCTTACTGCTGGTTAGTAGGAAATGGGGGAATGAGGTACCCTGTATAATCCCTTAAAGGGCATATGTAGAACCCTAAACCCTAAACCCTAAACCCTGATTCCCTCATTCCCTGCTAGCCAACTGGAAGCAAGAGGCTTTGCTTGAAGCTAGCGGTTTTGGGTAGGCACGGCAAGTTTGAGCTTGAGGCAGCGTGCAGGTGGCCCTAAACCCTAAACCCAAAACCCAAAACCCAAAACCCTAAACCCTAAACCCATAGACCCTAAACCCAAAAGTCGCACCTCGGACTTGCTAAGACGGTCAGATCGGGCTTTCGAGTGCCTGCCGGACCTCATGGTCTTCCAAGCAGTAACCCGGGTTTAGGTTTTAGGGTTTAGGGTTTAGGGTTTAGGAAACCCTTTCCAAGCCTATACCGACAGTCGGAAACTCAGCCCCCCAGATGTACTGAAGGTGCGAGTGACTTGGACATCAAGTTACCCCATCTATGTCCATAACTCCGCTAAGAACCAGCTCATGCAGCAAGACGAGCTGTGACAACCCAGCCACTTCTCCATCACGTCAAAGAGATGAAGAGCCTGGCAGACACTGTCGGGGGCTGGGTGGGGGGGGGTTTTAGGGTTTTCGGGTTTCGGTTCGAGGGGCACGGGTTTAAATCTCAGACGGCTGCCAAGACCCTGGAGCCTTCAAACGGTATCCTCAAGCTATGGCTTCAAGCAGGGAGTCGGCTCCCAAGGTAATAAAGCCTGAAGCCAAAGACGTCACGCATCCCATATTCCCTAAACCCTAAACTAAACCCTAAACCCTAAACCCTGTATAAACCCTAAACCCAAAACCCTAAACCCTGTATAGACCCTAAAGTCCAAACCCAAAACCCTAAACCCTAAACCCCAAACTGCGCCTCTTGCCACTGGCCGCCTCTCTGGCAGGCGCTGATAGCAGCCGCCAAAGTCTCCACCTCTACGGGTTTAGGGTATAGGGTTTAGGGTTTAGGGTAGCTGCGATAGGGCGATAAGAGCCCACAAAAAACAGCTCGTAACAAGGCAGCAGCAGTTGTCTCCTGACAACCCCTTGCTACCCAACCCCAGTCAGAACCACCCATGAACGTCAAAGAAAGGAGGGAACCCGCACGAATCTCCGTTTTAAACCCGAAACCCGAAACCCTAAACCCTAAACCCTAAACCCTAAACCCTGAACCCTAAACCCTAAACCCCCCGAACCCAGCCTTGGGAGACATTGCTGACTTCCACATCTCCCCAAGCAGATGAAGTGCCTCGGAGGCCATGCCGGGAGCAACGAGCAAAGGAGGGTCGCCACATGCCACCTCTTAGGGTTTAGGGTTTAGGGTTTAGGGTTTAGGGTTTAGGGTTTAACTTCTTAGGGTACTTGTATGGTCCCTTACAATGGGCCCTCAAAAGAGGACCCCTTATTTTTTTTGGAGTGTAGGGGTATAGTAACCCCTTATATACCCGGTATATACCATGAAATTCATCTTAGATAATTTTAGAGCGTGGGGGGTATGCCAGGGTTTTAGGGTTTAGGGCTCGGCCAATCATCGACACCCCGGTTTCTTGGACCCCAAACCCTAAAAAGCCCTAACAAACCCTAGGAACCCTACAAGCCCCTAAGCCACTACTATTTGCTTAACAACTCCCAAAAAGAAATGAGAAAATACTCCCTATATTGCCCGTCTACAGAAGAACTTTTGCTTTTATTTATTATTATTATAACTATATATACATATACATAGATGTATATATCATATTTGTTGGGGGGGGGGGTTCTGCAAGTGTTCTTAAACAGATATTAGACGAACCCTGAAGAACTGAGTTGAGGTTCCTTTAGGGGTGGGCTTAGGGTTTAGGGTTTAGAGCTTCACCGCGCAAAACACGTCTGGAGCAGAAGGCTTCAGGGTTCACTATGTTCCCCGCCGCATTGACTTGTAAAAAAAATGGGTAGTGCCCTCCCTTCTTGTGAGCATAGTTGAGCATATTGCTGAAGATGTGTCTGCCTAAAAGACATACACATATGCATGTACTTTTACATGTACTTATTACTTATACGTATACATACTTCGGGTGCATGATGCAACCATAGGGTTTAGGGTTTAGGGTTTCGGGGCCCCGCAACCCAAAGCTCTAAACCACTGGGTTTGACTACGCGGTTTCACCGGGAATCGTGGGAACCCTACACCCTCAACCCCAAACCCTAAACCCTCAACCCTGAACCTTCCGAACAATTCCCTGCTGTCCGAGACCTGAATCGGGGTTTAGGGTGTATTTCGGGTTTAGGGGGGAAGGTTCAGGCTGTTTCTTGGAACGCACGCGCCCGCTCCGCCCGAAACTAAACCAACAACCCGAAAGCCCCCAACAATCCTAAACCTGAAAGGCCTCTCACCCCAACAAAACAGAACGAGAAGAGGATGCACGACCCTAAACCCTGAACCCTGAACCCTGAACCGTAAACCCTTAAACCCTTAAACCCTTAAACCCTTAAACCCTTAAACCCTTAAACCCTTAAACCCTAAACCCTAAACCCTAAACCCTAAACCCTAAACCCTAACCCTGAAGCGTCATCTGCTAACCACCCAGTTGCCGCCGCCCACTGCTGGGCGTCGGCGCAGTTGAGCACTGCAGCGTCATACCTTAAATCTGGGGCCGAAGAAGAGTAAAGGGCTGAGGGTTCAGGGTTTAGGGTTTAGGGCTGAGGGTTTAGGGTTTAGGGTTTAGGTTTTAGGGCCCAGGGTTTAGAGTCTAGAGTAGACCGGGTAGGCCAATCGGAATAGCAATGACAAGAAGAATAACCAAGACCAGAATCGACATAATGGTCGTCGCAATAGTATTCATGAGCTCGACCGAGCGCTGGGGGGGGCTTTAGGGTTTCAACTGCTGCGCGAAAAGGCCTCGCTGACCCGAAGACACAAACCTCAGATTCCAAATCCGATGCTATATGTGGGCCTTAATGCTTAGAATATGATTTTTTAATTATTTTACTATAGGGGCCTTAATACTTAAGAATATGGTTTTGGAATGATTTTCGTATATAAGTCTAACGGGACCACAACGGAATGATATTAGATATCATGCCAAGCCCTATATCTTACCCAAAACCCCTCCCTGCTTGCCAGGCACGTGTCCGCCTCGGGCTGGAATCCCCGCTGCCTCGAAACAGAGTTGGTACCGTAGCACAAAAGTAGTGAAAAAATCACCTGAATCCTTCTTGGGTTTCGGGTTTAGGGTTTAGGGTTCAGGGGGGAGATCTTGGACCTAACCTAAAACCCAACCCTGCCCTAACCCCCCCCCCCAAAGCTGCAACTAGGGCTGGCCTCATGTCCTTCAGCAGCTGTAGTTGCCTGAGATGCTTTGCAACTTCGGGGCTCCTGGGGAGTTTTTGGATTAGGCGCTTCGGGGTTGAGCTTAAGAGGGCTCGTGGGGCTCTGGGCTTGAGAACTTGAGGGTTGGGTTTAGGGTTTAGGGTTTAGGGTTTAGGGTTTAGGGTTTAGGGTTTAGGGTTTAGGGTTTAGGGTTTAGGGTTTAGGGTTTAGGGTCTAGGGTCTAGGGTCTAGGGTTTAGGGTTTAGGGTTTAGGGTTTAGGGTTTAGGGTTTAGGGGTTAGGGTTTAGGGGTTAGGGGTTTAGGGGTTTAGGGTTTAGCGATGCCAGCTTGAGACTGCGGCTAGCAGGTCACGATATCAAAGTCGAAGGAACGGTCACATCCGAGACCCTGACCTCCATGGTAGCCCAGTGACAATATTATCATAAGGGCACTTTTTTTGGTTACTTTATAAGGGAAACCAGAACCAAAACAAAAAGGGTAAAGGGTACCACTGGGCCACCAAGCCTCGATACCTTTCAACCAGGTAACTTGGCAGGTGGTGAGCATGACATCAAGGCTCCCTAGTAATACGAAAGAGAGAATTAGAGTATTGCTGGCTCGGTTTTTGTGACGCTACTTGGAAGCTAGCACTAAACCTTAAACCTTAAACGCTCGCTCGCACCACCCGCAGGTATTCAAGGAAGACCTGCCTGCCAATTTTGCGAAACCATATTTATCATTAAGTCTATTTTGCCAGTTTATGGCTATTCAAAACTTGAAAAACCTTTTGGCAACCTCAACCCCCATTTTGGGCCCTGCCCTAAACCTGAAACCCTACACCCTAGACTACTAATTGCTTAAGAACCCCCCCCAAAAAAAAGAAAAACTCATCCTTATTAAGGATAAAATAGGGATTATCATGTTTTATGTAATTTTTTTTTTTTTTTTTTTTGGGGGGGGGGTCTTAAGCAAATCGTAGTAGAATACTTGCCATGATGCCCTCTGAGTTGCTCCCTCCAGTGCGGGGTGCCGCAGGAACGTACAGCTGCATCGAGGGCCGCGGGGGTGGGTGCGAGACCACCTGCAGAAGCTTTTAGGGTTTAGGGTTCGGTTTAGGGCTTTGAGTATATATAGGACATAACCCTAGAACTAAAGCCAGCAACAGCAGCAATACTAGTAGCAATCAAAGATTTAGGGCATTCTTGGGTTTCAGTTTTGCCCCAGAAAAATCGCGGGACAAAGCCCAGCAACCCCCAAATCCTAAACAAGCCCATCATCGTGGGGTTTCTGGGGGGGATTGGGCAGACATTTCGCAGGCGACGGTGTTTGCCGGCGAAGTTTCGGTGGGTTGGGCAGAGTTCGGGCGGGATTGGGGCTTTGAATTCAAGATTCTCCTACAGGGCCTATTTCTCCCAAAAAGCCTACACCCTAAACACCCTAAAGCCCTATAGTAGCCAGAGAGCCTATACTTAAACCCTAAACCCTAAACCCTTAAACCCAACCGGGACCTGACACAGTGCAGTAGCCACTCGCCTGGCTAAGCCCCAACGCTAGACACTCAACCTTAAATCCGAAACACCGCTAATGAGACCCCACACCCTAGACCCCTCAGCCAAAACCCGAATTAGACCCAACACCCGAAACCCCGAATGCCTAACTAGACCCTGCACCATACACCCCTGAACCCTAATTTACTAGTTAGACCCTACACCCTAAACCCCTACACCCTCAATAGACCCTAGACCCCAAACCCCCAAAGCAAGCGGGCCCTCCGCACTAAACCCTAAACGCTAAACCCTAAACCCTAAAGCCCTAAACCCTAAAGCCCTAAACCCTAAGCCCTAAACCCTAAACCCTAAACCCTAAACCAGCGGCACCTCGGAGCATGGCCCCATGCACCTCCAGCGCTGCAGCGCCCTGGCGCTGGGCCACGCAGGCCTTGGCACGATCCCGGTGCCCTGGGATGTTCCCACTTCTTAGGTTTAGGGTTTAGGGGTTAGGGTTTAGGGTTTAGGGTTCAGGGCGGGATCATAATAGGGGGTACTAGAATCCCTACTAAGGACTGTTCGTATAAGGGGGGACATGCCAACCTGCACCCCGAAATGTCGGGTTTGGGGCTTATAGAGTTAGGGTTTGCCAAGGGTTTACGTTTCGAGGTGACTTCCTCAAGCCTTGAGCCAAATCAGAGGATATACAAAGGCCCGCCCACTGACGTGTAGCCTGTTGTTGTTCCCCATTCCTCAGAAACCACTAAGCCCTCAACAAAAGTTCTACCTCCTCCACCCCCCCCCCCCCCCCCCCCCCCCCCCCCCCCGGGCCCCCGGAAAGAAAAGAGAAGCCTGAAGCCTCGACAGATTCAAGCCTAGACTGGCTTTGGGCTCGAAGTTCAGGGAATAGGGTTTCGAGCTCCAAGCCAGCTGGGTATGAAGCTTCAGAACTCCAACGTCTCCGTTTTATCCTCAGGGCCCCAAATGCCGAAGAGATTTTTGGGTTTAGGGTTCAGGTCTCAAGGATTCGTCAGGAGCGTGAGAGCCAAAAAACATCAAAGTACGGGTATAGTTTGTAGTTGCCCTAAACCCTAAATCCTGAACCTTATAGACCCCAAAAACCTAAACCCTAGTGGGCCTGATCCAAGTCCCAGAGGCATTGATGGTGGCCGTGCAGCTGACAATGTCCGGAGGTGGCGAAGACCTCATGTACAGGGAGGGCTGTAGGGTTTAGGGTTTAGGGTTTGGGGTTTAGGGTTTAGGCTTTAGAGTTTACGGTTTAGGGTTGCGGGTTTAGGCTTCAGGCTTCAGGGTTTATATAGGGTTGAGGGTTTAGGCTTCAGGGTTCAGGGATTAGGGTTGAGGGTTTAGGGTTAGGCGCTCAGCGGCCTAAAGCCTGGACTGAGTGGGCCGAGGGCTGCCGAGCAGGGCGCAAGAACCGCAAACCCCAAACTCTAAAGCTCAGGGACATGAAGTAGGGTGCAGGGTTTAGGGTTCAGGGTTTAGAGCTCAGGGTTTGGGAACATGCAGAACTTGGACTGCAGAGCGGTTTGGGCACCCTACCAAACAAAAGCCAACAGTTTGTTTTGGAGTTGTTAGGGTAGCCCTGAACCCTACTTAAAGGGCCACAGGGCCCTTTAACAGCCCTAAATCCTGGGATGTTCCCCCTTACGCTAACAGTCCTTCAGAGGGAGTATGGTAACCCCCTATGACAACCCCGATGAAGGACTGTTTGCACAAGGGGGCACATCCCTAAACCCTAAGCCCCAAGCCCCAAACCCTAAACCCTAAACCCTAAACCCCAAACCCCAAACCCTAAACCCTAAACCCCGGCCCTTAAAACGCGGCCAGGTGGCTCACACATCTCCCGAAAGAGTTGCAGCGCCTCTTCCCAGCGCCCGCCCTGGGCGTAGCTGCAAAGCCTGGCACCAGCAACAGATCCCCCAAACCCTTGTAGCCCTAAACCCTAAACCCTTGTAGCCCTAAACCCTAAACCCTGAACCCTAAACCCTAAAACCTAAGCCCTAAACCCTAGGCCCTGGCCCTAAACCCTAAACCCTAAACCCTGAACCCTAAACCCTAAACCCTAAACCCTAAACCATGTAACCTTGCTGGTAGGGACCTGCATCGGGCTCCGGGAGCTCGCTGATCCAACCCCTTAGCCGCAGGGCCTTCAATGCCTGAAGGGTCTGGGGTTTAGGGTTTAGGGTTTAGGGTTTAGGGTTTTGGGCTTCATTTAGGTCTTAGGATCTGAGACCTTTCGGTTCAGTGAGGCTCCATGGCGTGACTCCAGGCAAACTTTGAACCCTGAACCCTGGGCAGAGTGGCGCTGCGTTGCAGGAAACCGTTTCCAGGCGCAGGCGCGGCCGCATGTCCTGGGAGGTTTAGGGTTGAGAGTTTAGGGTTCAGGGTTGAGTGTTGAGGGTTAAGAGGGCTTCGCAGTAGGTGTTCAGAGAGGTCCTCAAACCTTCCCCCGAAGTGGGAAGTGGAGTCTTCTCCCAGGTGTTCCCTTCCACTTAGGGGAAAGCCCTGAACCCCCAAAACCTAAACCCTAAACCCTGAACCCTAAACCCTAAACCCCCTTAACCCCCAAGCCCCAAAACCCTAAGCCAAGCATGCCCAGAAGCTTCGAACAGGCGAAGCGAATGCTCCCACTGCTCGCTCTTGACCTAAGCTGCCGGGGACTTTCTGGATTGCAGTTTCGGGTTTGTGTTTAGGGTTTAGGGCTAGTGGTTGTTTTCGTTTAGTGTTTTAGGGTTTCGGGTAGTTTCGGGTAGTTTCGAGTAGTTTCGGGTAGTTTCGGGTTCAGGGTGGTGGTGGTGGTGGTGGCGGTGGCGGTGGCGGTGGTAGTGGTGGGGGAATACAATAATACAAATACATGGGGTGGGGGGGTTCCGAAAATCGGGGTACCCTTTGAAGGGTTCCGATAATAAGGATTATAGTATTTGGGGTCAAGTAGGGGTCTCCCGATTATCGGAAAGGCCCACATGAGGGTTGCCTTCTTCGCGAAAGCCCTTTGAACCTCCCGATGCTAAACCCTAAACCCTGATGTCTTAAACCCCGTCTCTCTGTTTCAAGCCTTTGTCCGGAGGGATTATTTCATACGCTTTGACTCGCCTGTCTTCAACCCCTACTCTTATAAACCCTGGCTACCTAGTTTATGATCAGCTTGCAAACCCGCGCGCTGATAATGTTGCTCGAAACTTTCTTTACCCTTCTAAGGGCCACAGAGAGGGCTTCGAAAGGTTTAGGCATCAAGGGGGCTTCTTCAAGGCAGCGCAACGCTTGACATGCTGTGCTTGGACACTGTCTGCGGCTTGGGCAACTGCTGGGCTGAGCTGTCGCGGGGCGGGGTTGTCGCGCCTTGTCACAGGCCTTGTCGCGGGCCCTACACACACAGAGGCCCTACACACGGAGCCTGAAACCCTAAACCCTAAACCCTAAACCCCAAACCCTAAACCCTAAACGTTCAGTCGAAAAGCACATGCCCACATCGTGGCGGTGCTGGTGACGGCATCTATTCGCACACCGGACCTTTCAGGCTGGCCCAGTGATGGGACGGTTTAGGGTTTAGGGTTTAGGGTTTAGGGTTTAGGGTTTAGGGTTTAGGGTTTAGGGTTTAGGGTTTAGGGTTCCCTGAAAGCTTCAGTTTCATCTGCAATAGTAAAGAGCCCGAAGCCTGCAATTTATAGGATTTAGGGTTTAGGGTTCGGGGTTTCGGGTTTGAGGTTTGGGGCTTCGGATTTGAGGTTTGGGGTTTAGGGTTTAAGGCTTTGGGGGCGGGGGGGGGGGGGCTTCGGGTTAACCCACAGCCGTAAACCCTAAACCCTAAACCCTGCAAAGCCTATAACCCCCCAAAGCCACCCTGAACGCTAAAGCCCAAAACCCCCCGATGCCCTCAAGCTCGAACCCTAAACTCTGTGGACCCTAAGCCCCCAAAAACAAAAAACTGAGGAGCGAAAACAACCTAAACCCCAAAGCGCCGTAAGCCCTAAGCCCTAAGCCCCCTAGTCCCAAAACCGTGTAAACCCTGAAACCGTGCAAGCCCTAAAGCATGCTAAGCCCTAAGCCCTCCATAAACCCTGAAGCCTTCATGTCCAAAGCGTTGAAAACCATAAACCCCATAAACCCCATAAATCCAAAAGACCCTCTAAGTCCTGCAAACCACAAGCCCCACAAGCCCTATAAAGCCCACAAAGCCTAAAAACCGCATAAACCCTTAAAACCCCATAAGCCTGATAAACCTTACAAACCCCGTAAACCCTGCAAACCCCATGAAGCCCTTTAACCCTATGAACCCTAAACCCTAGACCCTCCAAAACCCTTAAAACCCCTAAACTCCAAACCCTAACACCCTGAAACCCAAACCCTCTAACAAAAACCCTAAACCCCAAAACACCCCAAGCCCGAAGCAGTCTAAAAAACCTAAAGCAATCTAAGCCCTAAGCCCTCTAAAAACCCTAATAAAGCCCTCAAGCCCGTGCTACTAGTTGCTGAAGAACACCCCCCCCCAAAAAAAAAAAAAAATCACAACAATTCTTTCTTCGTTGATAAGGGCAAACATAAACCCTAAACCCTGAACCCTAAACACGGATGATTTCCGATTGTTTTGCTTGGTTCTTACGCAATGCGTAGCACAACGCTGAAAAACTGCCATGGCTCTCCTGGAGCTCAGCTAGCAACTCGAGGGCCTGCCTTGGGCGGCCCACATGGGCGGTTTAGGGTTTAGGGTTTAGGGTTTAGGGTTTAGGGTTTAGGGTTTAGGGTTTAGGGTTTAGGGTTTAGGGCTTAAGGCTCACACTTGAGCGCGACAAAACCTAGAGGCCGCGGGTGGGACATGCGTTGAGGGTGTTGCTTTTGGGGTTAAGTATCGCATTCCCAATAGAAACCTCGATTTCTCCAGCCCTGTCTATGTAGGTATCGCTGTCCCACTAAAAGCCACGATGTCTCTTTCTTGCATCTTAAGCTGAGAAGTCTCTAGGGTTCGGGTTTTAGGGCTTACGGCTTAAGGACCTCGTCATACAGCACACGCGCAACCTAAATCCGCCTAGCAGAGGGCACTCGAAGGAAAGACACGCAACAGCCGGACTACATATGACGTACGGTATATATTCTTGTACCCCTAAAAGGACACCCAATATGTACACTCACCAATATTAAAAGGGAACCTTATATACACTCACCGAAAACAGTAATATAAACCCTACTTCATATGCCATGACAGGCTGTGCCGGATTTTTGGCGCGAGGGCTCACGGGGTGGGGCTCCGTTGGCGCTTGAGTCTCTGCCTTGCCTGAGCCTTTAGGGTTTAGGGTTTAGGGTTTAGGGTTTAGGGTTTAGGGTTTAGGGTCGTGGAGGAACTTCTGTCGAGGTCGTCCACCTGTTCCGCCCCGCTGCAAAACGCCTTGTAATGTCACTGCTTTCCCCGATTTGCAGAGGGGGCCCGGCTTCAAAAAGCATTCTGCCCGAACTGTCGTCGCCAATCACCAAGGTCGGTTTCTGCCTCCGCCACGGTATAAGTTACGGAGCTAGATGATGTGGCGTCACTCCAAGTCTTGGAGGTGCGTGGGTAGCTATAGCTGGGCGCTAGAAAAACAGCTGTATATTATAGGGTTCTTAAGGGAGGTTCAACAGGTGTATGGGGTTCAAGGGGAGGGTTTAGGGTTTTGAGCTTAGGGTTGATGCCTTAACTGGGCTACAGCCTCAAGAAGAGTTCTGGGCCTGGGGTCCTGGTCATCTAGCTTCTTATGTGGTAATAAACAAGAAAAATATGCGTATATACATATGTATTGTATATATAGACAGATATACACATAGGATAATCTTCATTTAGTTGCATGATTCTGGTGCGTTGCTCACTCCGCGGGCTTGTTCCAAATGAGAAGGAGTTTCTTGAGTGTTCCGGGTCTTTCGGATTTGTCCACTTGGGGGCTTGGGGGGTTGTGCAGGGGTCCGATGTCGAAAGGCTATACTATAACACCCGAAGCCCTACAGCTCTTAAACCCTAAACCTAGGACCTTAACCCACCTACAATCTTAATTTACAGGATCTCCCTTTCCGGGTGTCGGAAAATTTTGGGTGATCCAGCTTGGCAGTTTCTACCATTCGCACTGCAGTGTGTAAGGGGCTCCTTGAGTTTTTGTTCGGATTTAGGAGTGGTCCTCGCACCCTCAAACCCTATATAAACCCTAAACCCTAAAACCCTAAAACCCTAAACCCTAAACCCTAAACCCCAAACCCCAAACTGGCCCTGAACCCTACTCTTCAAAGGCCAGGACTCCATGAGCTCTCAAAAACTGTTCCATGAATCCTCAGGCCCTGAACACCCTAAGCACCCAAAAAAACCCTGCACCCTAAACCCTAAACACCAAAAAACCCTACACCCTAAACCCTATAGGCCCTAGTTTGTAGGACCTGCACGCTCTATGTGGCTTTGCTCTTTGCCTTATTTAAACTTTTCGGGATTTTAAGGATTTTAAGGCCTTCCGAAAATTTTAGAAGGCTCTAAGCCCTGTGAACTACTGGTCTGGGGTTTGGGGCTTGCAGCTCTTATAAGGAGGTACACGGGTTCTTACCAAGGGGGGGGGCTACTACATATGTAATGAAACGATACAAATCCATCTGTGCCACATGTTGACCCTAATACACCGCAGACCCTAACCCCGAAACCTTCAAGTGTGAGCCATACGCCATACATAAAGCCTCACTCTTAGAGCCACTCGGGCAAGCCACTGCCACTGGCGACGAAGACCCAGCTCCCGCACTCGTCTCCTGAGGAGTTTCGCAACTTGTAAACCTAAACCCTAAACCCTAAATGCTAAACCCTAAACCCTAAACCCTACATGAAGAGGCTTTAGAGTTTGGGGCTCGGATCGCAAGTATGCAACTCCTGGCTTATGAGTTTCAGCGTCGCGCGCTAGGAGTAACAAGGTTTCCGGTGCTTTGTGTGCTTTGTGAGTCTCAATTTTGCAACCTTTCAGGAGCAATATCTCTCCAAAACGTCCCCCCAACCTTTAACTTGGCCCTGAACCCTAAGCTGAAACTGAAATCCTAAATACGCGAGGCCTGAAGCCTAACCCTAAACCCTAAAACCCTGAAACCCCAAATAGCAAAAGCCCTAGACCCTAAACCCTAAACCCCAAACCCTAAACCCTAGCCCTAAACCCTAACGCCTAACGCCCAAAATCTGAAAAACAAGAAAGAACACTCTGATCCTTCAAAATAGAGCTTGGGTCTGGGGCACCGGTAGCCACCTGCGAGCGAGACAAAGCCTCCTTTCAATTTAGGGTTTAGGGTTTAGGGTTTAGGGTTCAGGGTTTAGGGTTTCGGGTTTAGGGTTCAGGTCTAGGGCCCAGGGTGTTGTGTTTAGTGTTCAGGCATGTCCAGGGTTTCAGGGTTTCGGGTTTGGGGCCTCAGGGTTTCTTGGCTAAACCCGAAACCCGAAACCCTAAACCCTGAACCCGGGTTTAGTCTAGGGTATAGGGTATAGGGTATAGGGTTTAGGTTTAGGGTTTAGGGTGTCAGGGCTCATGCAAAGCGTCAGCTGCTTGTCCCGTAGCTCGTCCGACATCGTCCATGGCTTCGCGAGCGCCGGGCTTGATCAACGGGCCAGCCGGGTTCATTGGCACCAAGGTTTGGGATTCGGGTTTAGGGTTTGGGGTTTAGGGTTTAGGGTTTGGGGTTTGGGGGTTTGGGGTTTAGGGTTTAGGGTTTAGTCTTTAGGGTTTTAGTAGTTTGGAGGCTTAGGGTTGAGAGAGTCCAGGGCTTGGGGACCTGGTGTTGATGGTTTAGGGTCTTGGCGGACCTGGCTCCTCCAAATGGGGTAGCCAACGCCTAAAGTCATGGGAGCATGGTACCCAGGGAGCCAGATGCACCGGAATTAAGGATTCTACCTGCGTTCACGCAGGGTACCCATGTAGAGTACCTAAACCCTTAAACCCTCAAACCCTTGAACCTTTAAAGAAAGGTGAACCCTAATTCCCTAAACCCTAAACCCCTAAAGCCCTAAAGCCCTAAAGCCGAAACCCTACCTCTTGTTGGGGGAAGTCAAAAGGGCACGGCTTGGAGCTCTCCGAGCTTCGAGACCACAAAGCCCTTAAAAGGGTTTTCAGGGTATATACGAACCCTAAACCCTAAACCCTAATCACAGCCCATGAAGTTTCAAGTACACCCCTAAGCTCGAAACCTCGAAACCTCTAAAACCCACACAAGACGAAGGGGTGCTCGCACACAATCCTGCACGTCATTGTAGCATCCGGTGCTCCCCCCTAACACCAACCACCCCCCCCCCCCCCTAGACCCCAACCCCCAAAACCCGAAACCCTCCTCAAGTCAAGCCCTGAATCGGGTGGTGGGAGGTCAGCTCGGGTGGGCGGTAGCATCATGGGTTTCCAACTAACACTTCTCGAAACTACCTCCCCCTTTCCCCCCTTAAATGACCTTGATTCGGCCTAAGTATCTCTAAATAGCCTTAATTACGTGGGGAATGTTGGGGGGGGGGGGGGGAATATCCCTAAACCCTCAACCCTGAACCCTAAACCCTAAACCCTAAAAGGGGGGGGGGGGGGGGGGTCTTCTAAGCAGGGAGACCCATGAGAGCATGGGATCAGGGGCTCAGGAGCAGGCCGCCTGGCCACTCCTGGGTCGCCGGGTTCAGGTTTGGGTTTAGGGTGTTAGGGTGTTAGGGTGTTAGGGTGCTAGGGTGCTAGGGTGCTAGGGTGCTAGGGTGCTAGGGTGCTAGGGTGCTTGGGTACTTGGGTACTTGGGTGCTAGGGTGCTAGGGTGCTAGGGTGCTAGGGTGCTAGGGTGTTAGGGTGTTAGGGTGTTAGGGTGTTAGGGTGTTAGGGTTTAAGCGTTAAGGGCCTTGAGGGGAAAGGGTGTTCAACGCCCTGGGACCTTTTGGGATGAGGGTGCAGGGTGTTAGCATCTTCGGCTGTGAGAGGGGTTTAGCTGATATAGGGCTTGGGTTTCAGATTTCACAGCCTAGGCACATTGTGACAGTGCGCCAAAGCGCTTAGGATTAGGGACCCCCCGCTAGGCTAGGGGTATGATTTGAGGGCAATTGGTAGTTTAAAGAGGGGTTGCGGGTGGCAGGTGCCCCAAAAAAGGCTGTACGTGATAACCATACTTACGCACTTATGTAACCCAAGTTGTATCCAGCCGTGAACCAAGCACTTTGCCCGCTCGAGACTCAAAAGCTCTAGACCCTGGATCCTGAAACCTGATCTGAACAAGTTTTATATCCTCCAGAAACACAAATTCAGAAACTGTGAATTTAACATAGCAAAAGCCATTGCCCTAAAGCCTATATGGGGTTTAAGGTACCCCCCAAGAAGGTACCCCCAATTCCGAAAACACCCATAAAATACCCATACACCCAAAAAACACAAGGTAGCCTCACACCCTAGAATCTGTGACCCTCTGAGCAAACGGCAGGGAGTTGGTGCAGCTGGTGGGAGCCTCTGAAACAACGGGGGACAGCTGCCAACAGGCGCAGTCGAGGGTTTAGGGCGTGCCCAAGGGAATCATGACCCTGTAAACCCAAAACCTTAAACCCTAAAGTCTGCAGACATACCCACCCCTTCGCAAGGCTTCTTCGTCCAACGAACATCATGTGCATGAGACGACACGCCACAACCACGGGGTTGGCGAATATAGGGGTCGGAAAAATTACCAATAGTCTTCCCTTAGGGTCCCTTTAAACGTGTACTATAGTACCCCCAAAAGCCTAATTATTCTAATCATTACAGTGAGGCCCCTGTATTTCCAATAGTATTCCCGTAGGGCCCCCTTATCATTATACTATAACACCCCCCCCCCCCCCCCCCCCCCACAGCCTCTTCTAATTCTTAAGGTCCCTACCTTACCGGCACAGAGTTTCGGCCGAGCCCCCGCGCACGAATCGGTCACGAATCGGTTTTGCGAAAGGTGTTGCTGGGGACAACTTGTAAAACCGAACGTTATTTTAGGGTTAAGGGGTTTAGGGATGTTTAGGGTGAAGCCCGCTTTTGCAGAGAGATGGGCTCTGAGTATCGGGGTGGGCTTCGCCAGGAGAATCGCTTGAGGCGGTGGAGGTGCCTAGAGACCCTTGATGGCCCCCTCATTCGCCCTAAAGCCTCTGGAGCAAGCTGTGCGAAGGGGGACAAGCAAAACATGCGAAACGCCGACAAAAAGAGGCCCAACCAGATGATCGAAAGGTGTCGGTTAGGCACAGTTTCTGGGACGCGTGCCGGGTTACCTGGGACATTGGAGACAGCACCCCGTCCACAGGCCCTCGCAACTTGCAACTCAGACATTGCAACTGTCTCAAGTAGGTGGCTGGGAAGATGTGTCGGTCTCGACATAACTAGGTTTAGGGTTTAGGGTTTAGGGTTTAGGGTTTAGCGCGTGTAATGCGGCTTGTGGGTATCATCCCTCATCCGAGGACTTGGCTGCATCGGCCATCCATGCCCATGCGATGGCCTCACAGACTCATGTCATGTGCCGGTAGCTTTGACCTCGGGCAGTTCCCTATTATGGTTCCTGTGGGGTCCGTGATCAACGTCAACAGTTTGAGTGTCAAAAATAGTTTCAAAACACCAGGGGGGATCAAAACAAGGCTGACGACTTCCCGCGAAGTAGCTCGAAGTTCTTCCATTCTGCATGGTCTGTGTAGCAGAGTATTTCAAAGGGGTGGTTGTGCCATCGAAACGGCGCTGTGCTAGTTGAATCGGGTGGATCGAATTTTCGTGCTGCTGCAGTATTCCGGGCCCTTGAAAGGGACCGTCGCTCAGGGAACTGACCCCATGAAGTACAGCCAGCACAAGCATGAAGCATGCCCTGCAAAGACTACCTTAAGACCCAAAAACCTACATCTTTGTAGGTTACCCAAGGATCCTATAAGGGGGCTTATAGTAGGAACCTACAAAAAAGTGGGTTTTGGGTTCTTAAGGTAGCATGGTTCACCATGGCTTGAGGCCGCGGCGCCATACTTGCAGCAGGTTGCTGCGCAGGAGGGTGGGTCGGCATGGTGACTCCAGCCGGCTCTTGTCTGTAGTGGCCCGTCGGCGGGATCATCTGCGGAATCATCTGCGAGCCGTGCGGTGGCCTTGGCTGAAGAGGAAAGGACCTTATCATTTCTGGCTATATCTATTTGCTAAACCCTAAACCCTAAACCCCAAACCCCAAACCCTAAAAACCCTAAAACTGGCGACAATAAAGACAAAGTCACCAAGAGAGGAATTAAGGGTCCAGGTACTCCTACTCTGACAGCCCAAAGCTGGACCGGGACACCAATTGGCAGAGAGACACGTACATTCGACATGTATATGTATATACTATATACTATATACTATATCATATCATACATATTATGGTATACTACATTATACTATATTTTGATATATGGTATTATAATTATATTGTATTCTATTATAGTAAATTGCGTTGTATTCTATTGTATTACATGATACAATAAGACATTTCACTATACTATATTATCTTATCTTATCTTACATTCCATTCTCCTACGTATTCTCTCTTACTATAGTAAAAACTATGTTATACTAGATTAGATTACATTATAATAAAATTATAGTATATTCCATTCTACTACAAGTATAAAAAACATGTATTGCCACCCTACGAAACCAAGGAAAGCTGTAGAACTCGAGGGATGACGTTCGGCTGCAGCCCTCCCAAAACGCCAGAGCTACAAGCATGCCGATTGGGATGGGTTTAGGGTTTAGGGCTTAGGGTTTAGGGCTTAGGGTTTAGGGTTTAGGGCTTAGGGTTTAAAGTTTAGGGTTTAGGGTTTAGGGGTTAGGGTTTAGGGTTTAGGGTTAGGGTTTAGGGTTTAGGGTTTAGGGTTTAAAGTTTAGGGTTTAGGGGTTAGGGGTTAGGGTTTAGGGTTGAGGGTGTTCCACCTTCTTCTAACAGTCCTTCATAGGGTTTAAGTACCTCCGAGTCTACGCCCTATCAAGGACTGTTAGTGTAAGAGGGAACATGCCAGTGTGTGAATAACCCTCAGCAAAACATCCCAAAACCCTTCAACCGGACACCTAAGCACACCAAAAAACGCCCTAAGAACCCTAAACCCCCTAAACACCCCAAAACACCCTAAAACACCCTAAAACACCCTAAACCACCCCAAAACACCCTAAAACACCCTAAACCAACCCAAGCAGCCTAAATCCCCTCCTGAACACCCTAAACACCCTGACCGGAGCCCTATACTCCCCTTAGAACCTCAATAAACATAATATCTTTAATACCCTCTTGGGTTTTAGATACAAAAATATTTAAAGGAGAAACCGAGGGGGATATAGAACCAAGGCCGCGACATCATTCCAGGATGCTGTTGGCTCTGACAACCGGCAGGTGCCCACATCTGTGACCCATGCGATGGCCTCTGAGAAGGACCCTGAACCCTAGCCCTAAACCCTAAACCCTAAACCCTAAAACCTAAAACATAAACCCTAAACCATAAACCCTCTTGACCCTAAACCCTAAACCCCAAAACCTATGGACCCAAAACTTACAAACCCCGTGGCAGCCCACAAGTTGGAGCTAGCTCCAACATGACACAATCCC